CCACCACCCATTTGATGGTCTCACTGCAAAGAAGTAACAGGCTTCACACAGGCTGACAGTGATAAAGCAGTACGGGGCACAGAGTATACCTATAAATTGTAGCATCATCTCCTCGCACGTCAGTGAGGACTCTGCATGGCCTGCTGCCCCACTTGTGTGGCTTCTGCAGTGCCTAACACATACTTGGTAATAATAGCTGCTCTCTGCTTGGCAAAGTGTTGACTTGTCACATTTAAATTTTCACAGCTTTGCAAGGAAGATAGGTTTTATTTTTCTCATTTTTAAGAAGAGACTGAGGCTCGTAAATTGTGTTTTACCCCTGCTAGCAAGTAAAGAGGTCAGACTCAAACATCCATCTGTTGGCTCCAAGCCCACCCCCTTCACTAACCATTGCTCTGTCCTCCTCTGATGGAATCCAGATTTGCAGTTGCTGAGCAGTGAAGGAAGCAAACCCAGATTTCTGACTTACTTGATTTTATGAATTGAAGATGATTTAAGTTCCAGGTTTTATTCTTAAAATATTATTTTCAAAATGTTGACAATTCGAAAGCCAAACAGTCTCATTTCCATCGATGTTGCAGCCTGGAGCCGCGGAAATCAACTACTGTTGGGCAAGGACAGGACATCTGACAGGGCAGTGAAAGTTCAGCCTCCCCTCCGACAATGAAACATCTGCTTGTACAGCAGGAAACTAAAAGCAGTGTTAGCAATTGCAGGTCTGGGTAATGTGGTTTGGTCTTCATACCTTCACTCAGGTGGAGCCGGAGAAGTTGAAGACACTAACAGAAGGTTTAGAAGCCTACAGCAGAGCCCGGAAAAGGAACAGAAAGTAAGCACTATTTTTTTTTTCCATTTTGTCTTTCAAGGCTATAATTTACTGGTTTTCTCCCAAAAAGACAATGAAATCTCACTCATTTTGTCAATTTTTGTATGACTGTCTCAATACAGTTTAATACCTACCACCAACCAGGACCATTATAGACAAGCTAAATTAGCTACTACAGAAAATGCATTTTCTCTTAACAATTTATACGGTATGTAGGATTAACCTGTTCATCAGCGCTTTCCTCACTCGCTCTATTTCCATCCCTCTCATTGATTGAGAAAATATGATTAATTTCAATTTGTAGCAACTAGTCTCTGAAAATGTAGCAAAAATCCATCCCTTTGCAACTCAAATACTGTAGAGTAATATACCCTCAGTTGTAACATCTAAATAATTTGGGTAGTTAGTCAAAGTAATGATAAGTAATTATTTTTTCCTCAGACAAGAGCAAGAATTTCTCTGGAATTTTAACAAGAAGTGGAGCTTTGGGGCATTATTACTTGAGTTTTCCCAAATCTTTGTGAGTAAATACAGGACAATTAGATGACATTTGAAATATAATTTCCGTAGTAATACAATGTGGCTTTATTAATAGCTATTACTTCATTTAAAGTTGAGAACTGCAAATGAGCTTCTGCATATGTACATGAAAAGTTATTTTAAAATATATATAATTGACATTCCTCTTCAGTTACTATGATTTTCATATTATCAAACATCCAAATAGTTAGTAATCTATCTTGTATAAAATGTTGATAAAATTATATCAGTAATATCTGTTAGAGAGTACTTTATCTTAATGGCATCCTCAATAATACTTGCCAGGGTTAAAATTCTAGAACTCAACAATTCCTTGAAAGACCATTACTAGAACATTTCATAAAGAGCTGCTAACTGCAAGGAGAAAAGTCCTATGGCCTTATTATGTTCAGGATTCCTTTGGAAGGTAGCAATTTGGCACTGGTTGTGGCAAGGCCTAGTGATTTACCAGACTCCTTACAGATCTCAGAAGGAATGCAGTAGGGCAAATCCTCCCTATTATGACTCAAGTAACATTTCCTATGCAAAGCTTAATAATAGGATAGCCTATAAAATTAACACAAGATTAGATGAAAAGAGGGAAATTATAACTTACCTGCAGCACAAGTTTGCAATATTCAATAATGTTTGCTGATTTCATGTGAAAAAAATGCCTAAAAGCTATCATCCCAGTGAGGTGTGACAGTTAGTTGAATTGTGTGTAAAGAATTCAAAATCCAAAACATAGTTGATAACACAGAAATGAATTAATGCTTCCACATATTATTCCCCAATTTAAAGGGACTAATTTAGAAAAAAAAAACAAAAACACCTATGCCAGGCACAGTGCTGTAGCATCTGGAGATCACTGTTTAGAGAAGGAAACCAATGCAGAAACAAATAATTAAAATGTTAAAATTGCAGTAAAAATAGTACTTATAATGTATTGTGACATCCTAGAGAAGTTGCATCAAACTTGGGTAAAGGAACACTTCCTAGAAGAAATGTATCTGGGCCTAGTCTTACAAATGCCATAGATATTAGCAAGAGAAAGGAAACAGGAATTAAGATAAAGTAAGGAGGTATAGTGTTTAGATTAAATCAGTAGTTGGATTTGGGAGATGCAAAGTGTTGGGCAGGAAATTCTAACAGATGCAGTAAAAGGTCTAAGTAGGAGTCCTAGAGGTTAATCTCAGCACTATCACCTCTAGGGCCTGAGTTTGATCCCAGGCCAGGGAGCTGACCCCCATATGCACAGCAGACTTCTCCTGCCTTGCTCACTGCACCCCTCAGCAGTGTATTTCAGTAAATCCACCTGTTCTGCATCCCAGTTTGTTCCTGGTGAATCATTTCCTCCACACGTCTGGCCTATACTTCAGTTCTACTAAATATATATGTATACACACACACACACACACACACACATATATATGTATGCCTAAGTAGAAACAAGATTGGAAGGGCTCATAAAACCTTAGGGTCCTTTGCCTTATGGGAAATGCCTGAAGGGGATGTGGTTGAATTTTTCATTTTAAATATGACTGTTTGGAAGATAAATTCTAGGGGAGCAATAACAGACATGAGGAAATCATTTAAGAGATCTTGGCCAAATACGAGAGAGGATAAGGACTCAAACTAGGGGAACAATGAGAATGGAGGGGAAAAGAAAGTGAGCAAGAAATATTGAAATGAAATTGACAGGACATCGTGGAGACTGACTGGACTGTGAAGGAGAGCAAACAGTTGAGGACAACTCAGGTTTTTAGCCTGGGTGACTGGGTGAGTGGTAGGGACATTGACTGAAAGGGGGCTCCAGGTGAAAACTAGTGAGTATTGTGTGGGTTGCTTGTGGCATAGGTCGTTGTACAAATCTAAAGCCAGAAGTAAGTGATATTTGACAATGTAGGCTTGGTTGTGATGTGATCACACAGAGACACTTTGGGCAATTTGAACAGTGGACTAAGTTGAATGCTGAGGCATTTGAACAACCAGAGATGAAGAAGATGGGAAGTACAGTCAGTAAAGAGGAGGAAAATGGGGGGGGGGAGGGTCATAGGGTATTAGTAGAAAAATTCCCAGGATAGTAGAAAAATTAACAGAAGTCCACTAAGAGAAACTGAATTTTCTCCTTTGGAGGGGACAGTTTTGAAACCATTGGTAACCGCAGCAGGAAAAGTTTCCAGTAAAATGATGGACATTAAAACTAAGTGATCTTGAAGAGTGAATAAAGTAGCTAAAAATTTCCTAAAAACAACAATGTTAAAATTTTAAGATCAAAGATTTGACTGTTTTTGTACACTAGGGAGAAGTAGAGGGTGAAGAAATAAGAGACTGACAAAGGAAAGTGGTATTTGGTGAAGAGGTTGATACTGACCTGTGTTCAAATTCACTAACTCTTCAGAGCAGTGTGGTGTGGATATGTTTCTCAGTCTCTTTAAGTGCAAACTCCTCACTTCTAAAGTAGGCATATCAATACTTACCTCTTAAAATTGTTATAATAGTATAGGTAATATAAAAAGAACCTTAACATAGTACTTGGTGCATGATATTTAGTAAACATTTGTTTTTATTATAAAGATACAAATAAAAGAAGCAAAATTGCCCAATGTTTTAACCCGTTAAAGATTAACACAACATTAAATGTTTAGAAATTTATGTAATCCTCAATATCCTACCACCAAATTGTACAATAAATATCATTAAGTTGATGTTTGTTATAGCCAAAACATAAAAGAAGTATTAACTTATTTTTGAAGACATTTCTTGCAATCATGTTGTATGTAAACAAGGAAATGGCTTCATTAAAAACAAACTTCTATAGTTTTTAGTTATGTTATGAATTTAATCTCAGTGAGGATCAAACCTTCTACTTATATGTATTTATAAATTTACTTGCTAACCAAGTTTTATTATGATGGAAAAGCATAGTGATTAAAATATGTACACTTTCACTTTAAAAACAAGACATGATACTAAACATGTTAAATATAGTTAAATTTGCACTTTCCCTGTGGATTAAGTTTCAGAGTTTCACCAAATTTGTTTTTTTATATCAAGTGAGTTGTTTAAACTCTAAACTGACAATGTAGAACAACATGTAGTTTCTCATTTCCCTCTTATTTCTTGTACCATTCACAAATGCATACCTTTTTTTTTAATTAGTGAAGATAAGGATAACGTGTGACAATATAGGCATCAAGATGAGAAGTGGCAATTATCTCCATTAATAACTAGAAATGTAATTATATAAACATCTATTGCTTAATCAAGTAGGTTTTAGAGTGTCCATTAGTACAAATGTTTATTATTAAATATCAGCAGGGAATAGAAAATAGTAGAAGAGACTCCGCAGGGAGGCCCTCTCTGGACTGAAAGCCTGAATTTTGGCTAATTGTTCATTTCATAAACTCAGGGAGTTTTCTCCTTTGCTTTTAAATTTCCTTCCTAATCTGACCAGTTAAAACTGATCTGTAGATTTCACATATGGAAGATTCTCTCCTTGCCTCTTGATTTTCATCAAGTATTCAGTAATTTCATGTTCCATATCTCTTTACTTACAGTTTCTCTTCCAAAAGTGGTCATTTTTCCCTCTGTTAACTAGTTAATTTGTAAAAGGAAAAACATTGTTCAAATTTAGCTTAAATTAATACCATTTATAAGCATTTAAAATATCTCATTAAATGGCCTCCCTAGAGCCCGAAGCGTTTTTAAAGGACAGTACTATGAAGCTGTCCGCAGCCACAGCAACACGAGTTCGATGCAGGCCAGGAGGTGACCCACATGATGCAGCAGACCTCTCCTGACCCTCCCACTGCTCCCTTCAGCAGTGTATTTCAATCTGTCTGTCCTCTTCCCCGCTCTGTCTTTGGTGAATCCTCTCCCTGCCCATATCTCTGGCCTATACCCCAGTTCTTGTATGCCTAAATAAATAAATCTTTAAAAAAATAAGATAAAGTATCTCATTGAGGAAAATGTCACAAGCTCTTAAAATTTATCTTTTCATGCAATAAGTCAAATTATTTTGTATTTTTACTGATAATGTTATTGCAATTTTTCATACTTAAGTAAAAAAATTTCAATTTTGCTTTTTAAAAATACAATTTTAAAGCTAGTTAAATGTCTACCTTTTTCATTATATTAGAATTGACTTACCAATTCTCCCTAAAAAGTGATGAATTATCACAGATAAACTATTTGCATAATACCTACTCCATAGGATTGTTGCTTTGATTAAATGAGATAATCCATATAAATATTAACACTATTTAGTACATAGAAAATTCTCTAAATAATAACTATTTTTATTATTGAAAAATATGAGAAAACCAATATTCTCTGAAGATTTCCTAGGGAAACATTTCCCTCATTTAGATATTTAGAATTTTATGCAATTCATTTTATTTTATTTTTATGTTTATTGATGTAAAACGTTTTATTTGTTTAGGGGTACTGGATCATACCTCTAAAAATGTAAGTCATCACACCACACCACCACCGAAGCACCGATTCTTTTGCACCAGTCCACTGAAACTCCTCCCTCTTTTGCCCCTGCACTTCCCAACCGCAACTCCTGATAGCTTCAGTTCTGCAGTCAGATTTCTAGAGTTTACTTTGGTTTGCTTTTTTCCTGTTCATTTGCTTTGTTTTATACATTCCATCTATGAGTGGAATCATCCAGTGTTTACCTTTCTCCTTTGACTTGTGTAGTGTAATTCTCTTGGAATTTCATCTATATAATCTCAAATGGCAAGATTTCATTTTTTAATGATTGAGTAGTATCCTATATACTATATCTCCTTCATTTACTCATCTATTGTTGGGCGCTTAAGTTGTTTCCACAGCATGACAATTGTAAAGAGTAGTGTAATGACAGTAGAAATGCAATATCCCTTCAAATTTATCTTTTGGATTTCTTATGCAAGGTACCTAGGAGAAAGATTGTTGGATCATAAAATAGTTTTGTTTTTGAAGAGATTAGAAATAGTAAGAGAGGTTGGTTTCATTTGATCATCTTCATACAATGGCTTAGGACATAGCCAAGATGCTTTTTGCTTTTTAAAAGGAAATTTTTATTGAAGTAATATGGTTTATAATGCTATATCGTTTTCAGATATAGTATTTTATTTTTTACTCTATCTTTTAATTTTTATATCTTGATTTTCTTTTTCTCTTTCTCTTTTTTTTTTTTTTGAGGTAACATTGGTTACAACACTGCATATGATTTAGGGGAATATATTTCTAGGCTTTGACTTAGTTTTGTTATTTCCTTTGTTTTTTCCCCTCTATATTCCACATGAGTGAAGTCATCCAGTATTTGTCTTTTTCCTTTTGAATTATTTCATTATCATAATCCCTTCCAATTCTATCCATGTTGTCACAAATGGCAACGGTTCATCTTGCTTTATAGCTGAGTGGTATTACACTGTGCATATATGTCACATCTTCTAATTCCACTGCACTGTCATTGAGCATTTAGCTTGTTTCTACAACTTGGTGATTGTAAATAGTGCTGCAGTGCACATAGAAGTGCATATATTCCTTTAAGTGAATGATATTTTTTTTGAGTAAATACCTAGAAGTGGAATTGCTGGATCATATGGTCTAGCTATTTTCTTTTAGTCCCTTTCTTCTCCCTCTACCCATACTCCCATGTCTTGAATATGTTGAGGAACCTCCAAACTGTTTCCCATTGGGGCTGGACCAGTCTATAATCCTACAAACAAGGCATTAGGATTCCTTTTTCTCCACACCCTTGCCAACACTTCTTGGTGCTGGTCTTTTTGATATGGGTCATTCTCAAAGGTATGAGGTGGACTTCCAATGTGGTTTTGATTTATATTTCTCTGATATAAGTAGTAATGAGCATTTTCATGTGCCTTTTGGCCATCTGTATGTCTGCACTGGAGAAGTGTTGATTAAGGGCTTTGGCCCATTTTTTGATTGGGCAGTTTGTTTTTTAATTGAGTTGCATGGCTTCTTTGTATTTTTTAACAGTACCCCCTTGTCAAATGTATAATATACAAAATATTTATCCCATTCAGTTAGGTATCTTTTTGACTTAATGCTAGTTTTTTATGTCATGCAGAAACTTTTTAATTTGATGTAGCACCATTTGTTTATTTTTGCTGTGGAATCCTTCTATGCAGACAATTGTAAGCCCATAAAATCTTGTAATCAGGATGTCTAAAAAATATATCTCTTTTAAAACTTATTTATACATTAAAATGCAAAAGAAATAGTAAGGATAAATCTACTCAACACATAACACAAAGTGTAATATGAGGCAATTAGATGATGCTCAGGGCCCTTGCCAAACAACCCACAAAGGGGCCACAGACCAACCTTAGTCAAACATGAATGGCCCTGCAGGGCCCTAGGTCTGTATTCGCATTCAGTCAGTCAGAGTCATGCTTGGCAAACTCCCCACTGGGAAAATAACCTCAGACTCACTGCACAGGATACCCAGGTTGTCTTAAAATCTGAATGAGGGGTCCTTCCTGGTAGGGCAGCGGGTTAAAGCACAGCACTAAGAAGCTAAAGCCACTTCAGCATGAGTTCAATCCCCACCTGCCCCAGAGGTGACCCACATGGCATGGCAGACCTCTCCTGACCCGCCCACTGCTCCCCTCAGCAATATATTTCAGTCAATCTACCTGTTCTGCTCCCCACTCTGTCTCTAGTGAATCTTCTCACCCCAAAAACCTCTGGCCTGCACCCCCAGTTTTGTATGTATTAAAAAAAAATCTGAATGAGGGCCCTCCCTGGTGGTGCAGTGGGTTAAAGCACAGCACTAAGAAGCTAAAGCCACTTCAGCATGAGTTCAGTTCCCGCCCCAGAGGTGATTCACATGTCCAGGCAGACTGCTTCTGACCACCTGCTGCTCCCTTCAGCAGTGAACTTGGTCAGTAGGCCTATTCTGCTCCCCACTCTGTCTCTGGTGAATCCTCTCACTGCCCCTGCACCTCTAGCCTGTACCCCAGTTCTGTATGCATAAATAAATAAATCTTTTTTTAAAACTTGAACGAAATTTAAGATAGTATATGAATAGATTATTGGACAGTGCTCAAAAACAATACAAAAGGAGGAATGAAACAAGTTGCAACATGGCATGAATATCAGGACACCTCTCTTTGGGGAAGAGATTGGAGAAATTGGGGATCAGGAATTGATTACAAATGGAAACTTCAGGATCATTTTTTAAATCAAAATGTTTTGAAAGAAGTAAGTAATTTATTAATAGTTATTCTTGAAAGTAGGTTAGGAATTGTTAATTTATTCTATGTACTTTTCTGAATTGCTTAAACTTCACAAATAAATGGAGAAAATATAAAAGCTACTTGCTAGCTGACAGGTCAGCAAACAGTGGGTGGAAGGAATTGGAGTAGCATTGCCCTTAAAATTTAATAAAAAGCAACATATCAGTCATTCCTTTAAGTTAAACTGACTTAAGTGCATATATGTTTTCCAAAATATAGTGCTAGATTTGAACAAATATTTGTTGAATAACTATTTGCTTAGCAGCACACCCCACTCAGGGTAAGAAAATTCAGAATCTTCCAGGTGTCTATAGAAATTAAACATATGAATTGTATGGTCCTGGTTTATTTATGAGGGTATAACCTGGCAAAGACTGTGATAAACTGAAAGCATTCCACTAAAGTTTAAATATGTTTTTTAGCATGATGTGAGCCAAACTAAATGGATAGTGTGCCAGATTCTTCCACAATTGCAAATTTCCAGTTTCCTCATAAATGCTGAGATAGGAGTTAAGGCTTAGAAAGTCATGCAAATAGCTTGTTTATGAAAACCCTCTAGTTTTTTAAATAATAGCCCTGAAAGATAAATGAAATTTGTCACCTTTATACTCAGAATAATTGAGTAATTATTGATAAAGAAGAAAAAAGAGTTAACAGTCAAAATGGACAAATAGTATATAACCACAGAGGTGGATATCACGGATTTACCTCATATTAGTAAATTAGTTCAACAGCTTCCAAGATGTAAGTTTCAATAATGGTCTATATGTGTGTTTTTCAGGCCAACACGTGTAACGCAATGTTGAGTGGAGAGAAACGGTCAGATGAGTGATGGACACTCTGAGATCGTCATTCTTAATCTGTTTAAATAGTTATGTCATTTTGGTTTTAGGGAAAAAGTGATGAGCCCAGGCATGGCAAGAACCTCAGGTGCAGCGAGATTAGCTGTTTCGCACCTGGAAGGACCGCACGCCAGGATTTCATTCTTCACTGGCTCAGCCAGGGCCCTCCAGAGAGGACAGAGGGAGCTCCCTAGTGGCCAGAGCCTGCAGTTCAGCCCTTGTCCTTTCCTGGCCACACCGCATGGCTGCCTGAGACAAGCCAGAACAAGAGGCAGTGCAGGGCAAGCTGAAAGCTTGCATCTGTGCAGACCTGTGGCCCATCTTTCTTGCAAAATCTCCAGGTTATGGAATAAGCATATGGGAGGGGAAAGAATCCATTTTCCCCGATCACGTGTTCATTTTTCTTTTCTTTGGTAGTGCTGCGACTTCATCATTAGTATTCAGTGGTGAGAATCCCAGAGTATTCTGTCATCTGCATTTTTCAAATGCCAATATAAGGTGACTTTCTCTGGTGGAACTGAGACTTCTATTTTCTGATTAAGGAGTTAAATTGAGATTTGATTTCTTTAGTTTGTTAATCTGGATTGTTGTTTCTTTATTAATTGCAGAAGTGGAAAGCTAAATAACCATTTAGAAGCTGCTATTCATGAGGCCATGAGTGAATTGGACAAAATGTCTGGGACTGTAAGTTACTTTTCCATTATACTATGTTTCCTTGAAAATGAACTGTATCAAACTTTTTGGTAAAGTGTCTTAAGTACTTCTACACAATTTATGAAGTAATACTAAATTACTAAATGGCTTGGAATAAGACTGTTATCAGAAAAACTTGGGGGTGACTTAAGAAAAAATAACCCAGCAGCATTAACTACGTCTTTTTTTAGATAAATGACTTGTTTTTCCCACATAACATTTTTTTTAAATGTGAGGAGTAAATAATTGCAGTTCAAAATTTGATTCTGGGAATTGCACTGGTAATGCAGTTACCTAAATACCTGGTAATGCAAATTTCACTTTCCCTTGAACACAAAGGTCAAATTGAACACACCAAGATCAAAAATGTATAGACCTCTCATTTCCTTTCTATTGTTACCAAAAAATAATTGGGTGCAAAATTCTGTGGTTAAATCATTTTATATTTTAAACTCTAGTTTTAAAGAAGAGTCCACTTTTTTTTTTCTTCTTGAGCTGTGTATATAATTGGGTTGAATGTGAAATGGTTAGTCATTATCCTCAAATTCACATATGAACTAATATATCTGAAATTAACTTTGGTAATCTCTAAACATGTGACTTACCCAAGCCTATTCAACAATGAAGGTGTTTTCTTCTTTTACTTTTACTTGACTGAGGTTATCTGGAAACTATATAGTGGCTTTAGAATGATAGATATGATTTATAGATTCACAGAATATTGATTGTTTGGGTTTCCAAGATTTTGTGACCCAACCCATCATTTCATAGACGGGTGAACCAAAGCCTGGAGAAGTTAAATTTCCAGAAAGAATTATAGAACAAGTTGGGCCCTCCCTGGTGGTGCAATAGGTTAAAGTGCAGCACTGCAAGTGAGCCACAGCCAATTTAGTCAGTGCAAGTTTGACCCCCAGCCCTGGGGGTGATCGCTAGCCCTGGGGGTGATCCAAATGACTCAGCAGACCTCTCCTGTCTCACCCACTGCTCTCCTCAGCAGTGTAATTCTTCAGTCTGCCTGTTCTGTTCCCCACTCTGACTCTGGTGAATCTTCTCATCGCCCCTGCACCTCTGGCCTGTACCCCAGTTCTGCATGCGTAAATAAGTCAATCTTAAAAAAAAAAAAAAAGGAATTACAGGAAAAGTTTAGAGCAGGGATTATAAAGTCAAATACCACCTAAGGCCATGAAAATAATATCGGTAAGTAATATGGGTCAAATATGAGAAAAACAGCAATTTGAGTGGATTGTGAAATTCCGACCAAGACACACTGCTCAGAATGGGCTCACTACCAACTTTCAGTTCTAAAGACCCAAGACGGGAAAGGCAGTTGCTTATTCAGGTCTCCTACTAGTTGAAGGAGGAAAGGCTTCCTGCCCCTGGTCACTGAGAGACTCAGGTTCTTTCTAGTTCTTCTGGGTATTTCATCTATTCTTTGGCCCAGCAAGTGAGAGAAAAGTATACACAGAGTACTGCCAGGATGGATTAGTCTGTGAGATCTGGAAGCTCATCATTTCTGCTGACTATCCACTGGCCTGACTCAATCATATGCCCTTCTTCAAGTGGACTAGGAAATGTATTATACAATGTGCATGCTCAGGGAAAAGAGGACGTTGGCTTTGGGCACTTCACTAGTCTCTAGCTTAGAACACTTGGCCTTTGTGGCCAGCAGACAGTTGGGAGTAGTGGGGACTGTGCTAATTAGCCAGCATGCTTTCTCCAGAAGGAGCCCCTTCTTCCATGCTCTGACAGATCACAGTTATATGAGAATTGAACCAGTGTTACATGATTTTCCCATTTTTCATAAGAAGATAGAAGCCTGGAAGTAAAAGTCCTCACTTTCTAGTGTTATATATTTTTTTTAAATATTATAACATCATATGACTGAACAAAATGTCTTTTTTTCAGGCCACATTTGGTCCGCATGTTACTAAATTGTAGTCTTGGATAAAGGCTTCTTTGCTTAGTTATAAAACTTTCAGTTTTGACTCCTTATTAGAAACTTTTGGTTCTAATATATATATATGTGGGAAAGTTGGGAGGGAAAAAGAAAGTAAAACTCAGATACTATTTTTTTAATGTAAGTAATAATTCTAGAGAAGCTTTCTGCATTTGACTCTGAATACCATGGTTACTATTACTGAAACCTTTTAAAAATTTCAGTTATGCCAATTTGTAGTGGATTTTGAAAACCGATTCTACACCTTTCTTCCTAAGTTCTCTGACATCATATTGCTAGCTTGAAACGCAGCTACAGTGGGTTTGTGCCGACCCTTCAGGGAGCTAAGTGCCACACCACTGCTTTGGCTCCTCCTTTGTTTCCTACCTCTTGACCTTGCCCTCTCACATCAGTAGCCATTGAACAGCATGGGCTTCCTGACCACTTCTCTAGGACCTCTCCTCTCCTCCTTCCTCTCCAAAACATATCTTCAGTCTGAAACCTGGCAATTGTGCTTACTCGCAGCTGCTTCCACCGAATCCCACCCCTCCATCCTCCCCAATCCAATACCCAGCCTTAAATATTGCTGGTCCCTGCAACATTTATAAAGATGCATTGAATTAATTGCTCTTTCCAGACCACACAAGCTCAGCTCTGCCAACAGATGGTGGTGGTATTCTATTTTCCATCCTGCTTCTTCTCACAAATAAACCTGCTTGTGTGAGTGGTGTGCATGTTCTTATAATCTTTGAACCTTCTTTGTAGTTGAAAAATAAGTAGAATGCTGAAGCAAAGAATAAAATATGTTTGGTGCATATTCATGCACTTTGCAGACTATTGAATTTGGTGATCGCTGGCAGGAAAAGATTTATTTTTGTCTTAAATGTATAGCAGAACATATATTGCATTTCCCACACTTGATAGTTCCAGGTCCTCCTGTGTTTTCCACTGGCTTGGGAATCCCCACAGCATTTCTCATTTATCAATTTCTAGGATCCCTCCCTCTGAAGTGATTGTGGGCATACTAAGATCTGAGATCTTAGTAAAATTTTAAATGCCTCGGGATATTACTGATTAAAAATGAAAGAGTCTGGTCCCCACCCTGTTTCTTTGTCAGAAATCAGAAGATATTTGTGATTTCAGTCTGTTTTTTCTATTTCTTTATTTCTAGGTTCATCAAATCCCACAGGGAGACAGACAAATGAGACCCCCCAAGCCCAAGAGGAGGAAGATCTCCAGATAACAGGCACTACTCCACCAATGCGTAGTGTTTATTAGAGGAACGTGCACAGATGTATCTGTATATAGGTATTGATATAACTGTTATATCAATATTTATACTATGGCAGATAGCTACCACCACCACGGGTGCTAAAAGAAACAGTGATTCAATATTTTTTGATCAGGAAGGATAATGAATACTGGTAAAATCAATCATAATCCCTGAATGATGAGAATAATAAATGGTCAAGAGATTACTAAGAAACCCTTTTTCTATAATACTGAAGTTGTGATTATAAGAAATAGTCCAAATGTTTCTGAAGAATTTTCAATGTTGTATATAGAAAATACAGAATTTCATGGTGATATCAGAAATGTAAATATTGTACAATATTGTCATGTATAAGCGTACCTAATGCACACTTTATCTTTTATTGTACAAAGAAATAGTGTACAAAATTCTTTGGTTTCTATGGAGTACACCTACCAGAGACTACCAGTGTAAAGTGATAAATAAAAATACAACCTAAATCCTTTTCTATGATAATATAAAAGATGCTGTTTTTGTATTTAACAGCAGAGAAAAGGCATGATGATGTATTGACATACACTGCACACTACTGAGTGTTCATTTATATTGTCTGTTTGGAATGAACCTTGCCCGGAAGCACTGGACTCGATTTTGGGTGTCTAGGAAATCAAAATGTTGCAAATTTCTAAAGGGAGGAGGGCTCACAGGTCTAAATTAAGAATTCAGAAGCTGCAACCATTTGTTGCATATTTTTTTTACCTAAGTTTTAATGTAGAATAGGTTTTATAAAAAAAAAAAGATCTTAGATGGAATATTTTACTGTCATTTCTGTAGTTAACATTTGATAGCCACCTATTGAACTAGATAGTTTATGCTGCACCACCATTGAGACTCAGAGTGGAAGGTTTTGCTGTTTTTTGTTTTTTGAAAATGATACTTGACAAGATATAACTTTTTTTTCTATACATGGAGGCAAAAGCCCCACTTTGAAATCGTTAACTATAATCCAGTTTTTTTGTAGTGGCAAAAATAAATCAAAATCATCAAAGCAAGTTGCATATCCATTCATCAGTATTACTTAAAACAGAAGTTAAGGTGGCTTACAAAATTATTAGCTATGGTAATTTTTTATCAGTATTATGTAACATATCAGATTTATTTTATTTAAAGAATTATTTATACCATTAACAGATTCTTATATATATTAATGTGGCTGAAATGTGCAGGTTAAATCTATTAGCCAAATTATTTATATTATATTAAGTAAGAAAAAATGTGAAACAAATGTAGAGAGAAAATACATTACCAGTATACAAACCTAAAACTGTGAGCCATTGTAAAGTACAAGGTTATTAATAAGAAATGTAGCACAACATAATTTCCGTCTTGTTTTCACAATTTCTTTGGTGGTGGTACAACCCTATCTTCTAGGCTCTGAAGCAAAGTTTCAGGTCACCAGCCTGACTTCCAGATAATCTGTCAGAGAAAGGGATGCATTATCTCTTCACTCTTAGAACCACCAGCCCCCACCCCCAAACCTTATACCCCAAGAGAGCAAGGCCTTGTCCCCCAGCCTGGGGCTCATTCAACAGCTTAACGCTGGAACTACTGGGGGCCCTCCCATAGGAGTCTCAGGTCTTGGGGCCTGGAAATGCTTACCACTTCCCTGCTCCTCCCTCACCCACCCCCAATCTCCTCAGTCCCGCCATGTAGCAGAGTTCCAGTAACTCAGGAAAAAGGAGACCAAGGTCATTCCTCCAGTTGGTTTCTTAGAGCCACAGCACAGAGCACTCCACCTGGGCTCACTTTTGATAGCAACAGCTTTTAATTCTTCCCCTAGGTCTCCTGTGTCTCTCTGTCCTCTTCACTCCTACCATCACCCCTACCCCTAAGCCTAGGGATGCCACTGGTCTTCCTGGCCTGGAGGCAGGAACTCTTCCTTCTGGGGGTAGGTTTGTATTTTCTTTTGCATAGTGATGGAACTGACTGCCCATCCTTCATGCAGCCCCCCCCTTTAGTAATCTTTTCAGTAGTCTACTTGACACATTTTTGTTATAAGTTGATGTATTTGGTATGTTTGAACCATTAATGTTGTCCCTTATTATTATTATTATTACTATTATTATTATTTTTACAACAACCTGCTTTTTTTTTTGTCTACCCAGTTACCTGGTTGCTCTCATTCACAGATAGATGTAGATGTGTGTTTGTGTGTTGGATATATCTGCATATATGTGGGGGTTGGGGAAGGTGTGTGTTGATATGTAGATGCTTTTTTAGCCTTTGCCTTTTTGTCTTCAGACTGCGAAACGATAACACATTTGTGTTGTCATGATTGTATTAACCAAGCCTTCTTTTTGATATTTAAAGCTACTTAGGTTTTGTGCTTTCCCACCATTGTATACTTTACATCAATAGGCCATGTAAAGTATGTCTGTGCCCATGATTCCATTGGTTGCTTATGGCTTTGATGTGGGTGCTAGGTATTGCTGTTTTAGTCTACATGGGGTATTTTTTTCTCTCCTCTTTTATAGTTATATGGTTTTGTATAAGCAGTTAATGTAAATATTGTTAGTATTACAGGTCATGCAGTGTTGTAACATTTTTTTAAATGTTGCACCTACTTTACAATTAAAAAAATTGGTCACTCATATTTGAATTTTGCCCATAGAGCCATTTCTCTTTTCTCTGTATTGCAGCCAGTTCTTTTTTTCTTTTTTTTAATGAAGGCTGGCCCTTCTACATTAGTGCATTTTTTATTCCCTATAATAGGCTTTTTTTCCCAACAAATCTTAGAATGAAAACAGATGAAAAATTCTTGCTCCTTTAGAGAACATAATAGTACTTCCAGAAAAGGAAATCTAATTTTGTTTTGTGTCCCTTACCCATCTTAGGAAAGCACAAGGAGAATAACCTACACCTTTAAGTAGTTTTTAAGATTATTTTAAATGAGTGAAAATTAACTGAGCAGCTCTTGTTTGATTTGTCTTGTTTGTAGCATTAAAAGCAATCAGGGGTTTTATTTATTTAAAGGAACATTTTTGATTAGTCTTTTCAGACCCATTGAGAATGTAAATGTTTTAAGAATATTCATCCCTTGTGATATCATGGGCCATTTTTAGTCCTTTATTTAGACCCTGCTATTTGCTATGTCTGTTTTGTTGTTGTGTTTTTCTTTCTTTCTTTTTTTTTTTAAATAACACAACCTTATTTGAACACCACTCTACAGAACTGTGGGAGGAGCAGAGGTCATTATTTTGTTTTCTGTAAGTTTATGAAGTTTCTCAATTGATTTATTCCATGAGGTGATTCCTTTTTTTATTTCAAACCATGATAACACTTTGAGGTTAACTTTAGTAACCTTTCATGCAGTTTGTCATGTTCCCTATAAGTAACAGGCAATTTTGCATTGAGATTTTAAAGTTTAAAATGCTTAAGGTGACATTGGTCTTTCTGAAAAGCAGCCAAGATTCTAGACCTTATAGAAAATCTGATGTCTTGTTTACTTTGCCCATTTATGTCCAAATGGTGTAATGAAAGACCTAAGACTTTTCCATGTAGTATGTAAATGAGTTATATATTACCTGATTCTTTGGGGATTATGAACAAATAATATCAACCAGTCAGAACTGTAATATTGAATTAACTTATTTTTTCTTTCCTTCACTCTATCACATTTGCATTAGCCAAAGAGATAAGAGCATTAGTAATTTATATGTATAAACAACCCAGAAGTGAATATTCAATCAGTGAGCCAAAAAGCAATAAACAACTGAAGCATGGGAAATCCTGCTAACCAGTGGGAAGTCGATATAGAAAAAATATATATAAAAAAGCATTATCTTCAAATATGAAAGATTAATTTGTATCTACTGTAAATATGTATTATCAGCCTTATTTGCTTTTATACACACTGTGTGTGTACCTCAGTGACCTTTTATAAACCGGAAAAACGATCGATTTAATAATTTGTTATGTAAATACAAAGTTGTCTATAAATTGAAAAATTTGATGCCATATGGCTTCACAATATACAAATGTGTTTTGTAACATCATGCCTTTATGGATTAAGTATAAATACACTGGATTGTCTGTGTAGAACATTAGTAATTTACATTTTACCTGCATTTCAAATAGATTTTTGTCCAAACGGTTATACTTTCAGGAAAAGAAAATGATCATCACATTTTTAATGTGAAAAACAGATATGGTTTTGAATTCACCAAAATTCCTTTTCCACACTCAAGAGTTTGTGCAATTCCATGCTAGATGCCTTCACTAAGAGATTTCCATCAGAGATTCATTGGGATCTACCTAGGCAATGTCCCCAAACTGAATTATTCTACTTTAGAGATAGGGATTACATCTTAATTTCTAATCATAGTGGGAGATAGAAACTTAATGTTTTTTATTCCTTTTTTCTTTGTTTCCACTTGTCTTGAAAAGCAATGCACAGATAAACAGAGCCTACTTTGTGCATATCAAGGTGAATACAGATTGTTACCTCAATACAAGGCTTCTCAGCTTTGGAACTATTGATATTTTGGGTGAGGTCGTTCTTTGTTGTGGGGCTATCTTGTGCACTGTAGGATGCCTGGCAGTCTCCCTTGCCTCTACCCACCGGATGCCAACAGTACCCCTTCCAAATTGTGACAATGAAAAATGATTACAGACATTATCAAATGCCTCCTGTGGTAGAGGAGGGAGGCAAAGGGAAATATAAAAACTGCTACCTTAATAGAATCAGGTAGGGATCACATGTCTGTGCAAAACATGGGTATGTATTACATGCTATAATTAACAGGAAACTGTTCATTTCCAAATCAAAATCCATGCCAAAGGGTATGTCTCAGTCCATGCTTAAAAAAATGACTACATTGGCTTCAACTTTATTTATTATACCTTTGACTCATTTGATCATAAACCTCAGGACAATCATATTCTGAGTACTCCCAAACTGTGGCTTAGAAGAGTTACCTGAATTGGAAACAAAATTTACAAAACTGATAACCTTTAAATAACCAAGGTGATTCAAGTAGTAGAAAGCTTGTCTGATGACAGTGCAGCTAACCCCCTTGGGTCAAGATGAAGAAATTAACTATAGAGACCATGAGGTTTATATACATAGCTTTCTTTAGCAGGCTGGCCCAGGTATCAGTAGTTTATGTGTGATCCTATTATAAGTTCTGACAGAAGCAGTTCATTTGATCTTAGAGATATCATTGTTATATTTATTTGTTCAATAAATATCTACTGAGTCTCAATATATGCCACAGTCTGTGCACAGCAATGGGGATAAATAGAGAATAAGACAGGTCCAATCTCTGCCCTCTCTGAGCTGTTGAAGAAGAGGCCAGTCAAACATGTGAGCACTACCGGATGAGAAGGGCTGGGCTCAGAGGAGCATATGATAGGCCTCTGGCCTAGTTTAATGGGGTTGGAGACTTGAGTGAGAGTCAGGAAAGATGAATAAGATAAGTGTGTGGCTTAAGAGAGCTCAAAGAGAACATGTTAGGGGCAGAGAAAATGGCACATTGAAGGTTAGAGGAAGCATGAATGAGATAAGAATGTCTGGGAAGACTGTCGTACGTGGGGAAGTTTTGAAGAGACATGGGAGTCTGGCCAACTGTTGTTACGACTTCTGAGTGGGATGGTAATGAGGAATTGAAGGTGGGTGATAAGATTGTGTTTGTGTTTTAGAAAGATGATTCTGACCACAGTGTGAATAACAGGCAAGTGGATGGGGACAACACTGGAGAGTATATATCTCATTTCAAGCACAGCATTTTAAAAAAGCATGTCCTTCCTCAAAATGTTTTCTCAAATTCTGGCCCACTCAATTCTTCATATTGCATTTGATGAGCAAGTTCCATGCCAGTTGTGAGGTACGTATATAAATATATATTTGTAAGTTCACTTTAAAAGTCACGAAGAAATGCTATTCCGCACATTTACAGTTACTGACAGCAACACCATTCCCTGTTTCTTGATAGAGCATCTCTCTATGCTGCTGATCAGAGGATAGGAAAGTTTAAAATCCCAAAGGATTTTGTTACAGTGTCAGAAAGCAAGTCCTGCCAACCAGAGTCCACAGGTAAGTATAGGTCAGGAACAAGCCTTTGGTGTGTTCACTTCTTCCTACACACTGAGAGCTGCAGAGGAGCACACAAGATGCCAGTGGTACCAGGTGAGCACGAAGGGTTAGGAAAGCACTGGAAAACAGACCACAGTGAGTCAGGGCCTAGAGCAGGCCATCTGGCTAGAGGGACCTCTGCCCCACAGCAGGGGAGACCACACAGTCTTTCATCATCCATTCAAGCCCATGATTATGTGCATGCTCTTCAAAGTATCCCTTACCCCCAATTAGTCACCGCCTACACTTTTTAAAGCTAATTATTGGTTTTAAAAGGAAAAAAAAGGCAGAGGTAATGCAATAAAAGACATCCAATCCTGAGATCCTGAGACCAGCAAATAGCCTGTCGCTCTAAGTGCAAGGTCTTGCACACAGGAAATGGAGCCTGAACAGGGAGGCAGCCTATTATAACTGGGCCCTCAAGGGGGATAATCTACATCCAAATGTACACTGTGCTGCTAACTAGTTGTTTGACTTTGGGAAAGCTACTTAACCTACATATGCTTAGTTTCATCTACAAAAGAGCACTGATGATGATGGTAATGGTGTTTCCTTCATGGGGTTGATTAAAGATTGAAATAATACAGATAAAGCTCCTTGCTCCTTATGCCTGGCACAGAGCAGGCATTCAAGGAATGTTTATTGCGAAATACCAATATTTACATCAGAAAGGGGAACTTTCTGCCAGGGTAAGTTGTGTCATAAGTTGCTGTGTCTCCCATGACAGCCCTTCAACATAAAAGAATGATTTACCTGCCATGGTGGTTCTGACCAAAATGGACAGCACAGAGACCCTGTCTGGTTTTCCCTTCCAGTCCAGTTTCTGGATTTATTACCCTGGGTGTTTCTTAGATTCTAATGTCCATAGTGCCAAATGCAAAAATGGACAAAATATTTCCCCAGTAAACTAGTCTAAAAAATAATTTCTCAAGAAGTGCATTGACTGTGGTAACCATATAGAACTTGTAACCTTCATTCTCAGAGTAAAGTTGGAACTGTCTCTTCAGATAAATGATTCAAGATGTGAAAATTTTTCAATTCAGGCAAATTGGGATGTGGTACAGTGAAAATTATATTTTAGTTAAGAACCTGAAATTTGGGATCCTATTTCTTGCTGATTGGCTTTATAATGTAGAACAAATGACTAAAAGATCCTAGGGGAGGTTCGTAGGCTGTAGATCCAGTCATTCAGTAGCTCTATGACTCCAGGCATACGATCGGCTTAGTGCCTTAGTTCATCTTCTGAAAGAGGGAAGGATGGTTTGAGAATTAAAGAAACGTCTCATATGTGAAGACTTTAAAAGAGTGTCAGGTATAGCGCTATGGAAGTCTAGTTTTTGTTATTATTACTACTGTTAATAAAAGAGACTAAGACTCACTGAGTTCCTTCATCCATACCAGGGAAAGACAGCCCTGGGGTATCTTAAAGGACTAGTCATCTCTGAAGTGGTCACTCTAGAGGGTGCTGATGTTCACATTTAATTGTTTCTTACTTACTTGATTTAAACACATGCTCATGAAAGGAGTGAACCAAACCAAAGATAGGAAGTTTCCAGATTTGAGAACATGGAGGATGGGAGGAAGGTGTTCATAACTATCCTAGCAGTAGTTGTGCTTAGAGAACTAATATGAACATGAAAATCCAATAAACCCTGAGACATGTTTTTAAAAGGGAAGGGAAAGAATGAATAAAGTGGTAGTATTTTTAAATGTTACTAAGCATTATTTATTTAATGCTTACATATAAAAACAAGCATTTCTTAATTGGAAACTTATGTCTGAACACTATATAGGCTTTTCACATTAGGTACAGCTTGCTAAAAAGGCAGAACAGAGTTTGTTAGACAGTGATGGAGAGGGAACTGGGTTTATCTGGACCCTTAGCTCAAGGGGCAGGATGTCTTCAGGATTTCCTGTCTCTTCCGCTCCATGGGCCACTATGTTATGAAATTAGAATGTAGCCAAAGGATTGAATGCCTGGGGCTTTGGTCCCTGGATTGTGACTGAATCCCACAGAACATAATTTTACCCACCAACTTACTTTTATATAGCTTTCATGACTATGAAAGTTATCCTTAGGAAATCTGTGACCTTTACAAGCCTCTGTCCCAGTTTTTTCAGTCTTGTAGGGATTACCTAGAATCTGTAGGTTCCTCCAGACTTATAAAGCAGACTGATTCCTACTGTTCTGGTTTATTTGGCAAAGAATGGAAAGTAAATACTCACAAGCACTGGAAAAGAAAGGATGCAGGACTTGGAGTAGTGAGATGCACTGATGCTCTTTGGGCAAGCCATCTGTCTGAACCAATCAACAAAGGTGAGGACAGACTATTTCCTCCCCTTTCTCCTGACTCTTCCCAAATATCCAAGGCAATCATACAGCAGGTAAGGCATTCTGGGAGGAGGGGAAGGTATATGTTTAATAAGACAACCAGATCGACAGAATGAGATGGAACCATAGTGACTGCCTTTAAAAGCACAGTTTTCTTATTAATAGTCTAAGGTTCTCTGGAAGAGAATTAGTGAGGAGCATATGATAGCTAGTTCTTGTTTATGAGGGCACTTTCTCTGTAAATCTTTGTCAGATCTACCTAGTCATGGACTAGCAATGAATAGACAGTCTTCTGAAGTCATTCTATGTAACTTGGTTCCCACCTTCCATCCTTTGTCCTGTACTCCAAGCTGTCCTTATTATTGTCCTTATTATTGCCCTTATTATTAGATAGCTTCACACACAGATGGCCTAACAAGGAACAGTCCAAATGATGTGTACACATTGTCCTTATACCTCACAGCAGGGGATTATTTCCTTCAGGCTAGATTTTGCCTTTCTCATTTTTTATTGCAAAAAATTGTAGAAGACAAAACCCCTGAGGCAAGAAGACAATATTTTCTTCAGAATCTGAGAAGGGGACTGCACAAAATGAGCTTTGATGAGCACCAAGATCCCTCTGGACTACCCTAATATCTATAATAGCCAAGGGTTACAAGTCCCTCGGAGTTCCTGAAGGCCTCATCATTATGGCAAAGATGGGGAGTTGTCCCAGTGTCACATCTTGTCCTCCTGTCAACATGCCTAAAAATTAGCCCACTTAGGTGATGACATATTCCCCAGTTCTGCAATAATGACATTCAGCCATTATCAAACTAGGAAACAGGAACAACATATATTAAGTGGCACTTCTGTCAAGATTCATCACTACCACCTCCATGTCACCTTTGAGAGCCTAATCCATAGTTAGGTGCTACCATTTGGGACTCTGTTGTGTAACTACTTTGTGGAGTAAATGGAAGACTTCTTTGGCAGATTGGAGAGAAAGGGGGAGTTTTTTGGAAGAAGAAGGAGATTCTGAATGTTGTAGGGAAAGTATCAAGGAAGAGAAAACTCCTGACCCTCCACCCCACTCAGATCCTAAGGGAGGCATAGGGGCTGATTTAGGGGAGAAGAGACTTGTCTAAAAGAAATTTCTTTCTTGTAAAGAAAGATGCTGTGTGCTGTACAATGTGACCCCTTACCCCCCATGGCTCTAAAAATCTTCAGTGAAATTGCAATAAAACCATAATGGGTCTGGTGTAATTGGAATTATTGTCATTGCTAATTTGGAGATGGAGATTTATATAATGGGGATAAGGGGAGCTCTAATCTCTGGTTTCTTAAATAACGCCCAACAATACGTACCTTATGTTCCTGACAGAAAGATTAAATTCATTAACTAGTTTTTGTCCCACTAGGGGATACTTTTTCCTTCCCAGAAATTGGCATCAAACCCAACCTGTTCCAGGAAGAATGAGTCTCCTCCAGTGAGCATAAGTTTACTGCATGCCTTCATCACTTATCCCATCCAGATGCAAACAAAGCTCAGTGAAACGAAATTCTAGATTGAGAGGGTCTTCACATGGCTTTGTCCACTATGGATACCAAGACTATACTAGAAAAGTAGTAGGTAATATGTACCAGTCTTGATACCAAACAAATTTTTCTCAAAGAATCTATAAAACTATATAGTTTTTATAAAACTATAAAAACTTGGTGAAATTAACTGGACACTGCTGTGAGAA